TAAAAGCTGCTCAGCTGCTGAACTGAAACATCCCGTAATGTTAGCTGTTAATTATCTTAAAAGCCACGTTTTTTTATAAACAACGTTTTACTTTCTTTTTCGAAATTTTGTACTACGTATCATATGAAAAATGTCAAAACGCGGAATGGATTAAAAAGAAGTGTCGCATTAAAATAGGTATAGGTATTCGAATTTTGATAGTGACTTGAATATATGCGATTTAAATTTAAAACTAAGAATACTGCAAAACGAGATAATACGATAAATTCCAAGAAAATACCACTTTGCTACCGAAGAATAATGAAAATTAGAATTTTAATTTATTTAAGTTTATCATCATCAAGAAATCTCGATCTCAACATTATTTAGGGTTCTAAAGTATTAACGTTTAAGTGGAAGTAATAGTATTAGGTTTATAAATTAATTATTTCTATGTATATATAAATTTTTATTCTTTATACTTGTTTGTATACATGTTATGGACCAAATGATTAATAGGACATTATATAAAATGTCCGCTCAGTTTGAAATATGCTCAATATTAGAGGGCAGTGTGATAGCAACCGTAGAAATAATCAAATCGACCGGGCATTATTTATAACGCTCGTCGCTTATGGGTCAGAACAATTAAAACCAGGTTTTATTACTATTTTTATTTCAATAGTAAACTTGAGAGCATATTTAGTGATAATTGTTTCAATTGGTTTTTAACAATCTTTGAATTTAGAAAAAATATTTTTATTCATTGCATATAATCGACTGATAAAGATACATTAGGATTACAATTAGTTCAATATTTAGTTTTATCACCGTTGGCCGCAATACACGATTCCAATCGGGAATTCATATTCCCGATTAAAGACTCCAAATTCTTAGGGACCAAATCGGTCCAAATGGTCTTGATTTTGGCCATCCAATTGTCAATCGAACGTTTAGTCTCTTTCTCAAGGATATCTTTCATCAATTTCGATAGGGTTGAGGTCTGGCGAACAAGCTGGCCACTTTTTGACCTCAAATTCTTTGCCATCAAACCACTCTGTTTTTCATCAATACCATTGATAATTGTATGGCATGTGACACAACAATCGATCGGTAATTTGATTCTCAATTCAAACGTGTGCTTTATTTACATGGTAATCACCTGGCATCAAATTAATCAATCAAAAACATAATTTTATCACTAAATCTGCTCCCAACTATAGAATCAATATTTAAAAACAGATAAAAAATCTTTCCATTCATATGCACTCTGCTGACCTATGATAATAAAAATAAATTGACTAAACTTTACCATAATTATCAATAATCAGACTAATAATTTCTACTTATTTGGAAGAGGTTTTGAATTCTCTAGTTCTTAGTAGTCTAAATCCTAGTTGAACTTTTAAACCTTAAAGGTTAAACTGTTGCTAAAACTTTGGTTACTTAAAAAATTGTTCTTCTCCCCACACCCCGTCCAATGTACCTGTGTATTAGGTATTTAGCAGATTGCCCGAAAACCACATGACAATATTCGTAATGTCAAGGTAAGATAAATAAGGAAGTTCAAATTGCAATTATTTATTCCGTTTGTTATTATTCATAATGCGTGGGTATTATGAAAAACGCCCCTATTCATTACTTGGTCCATAACTATATCACAGTGACTGCGTTTTGTTTTTACATCGTCAGTAGTCCTAATTCGATTTGAAAATAAATCCTAATCCCTTTGCTTAAAAACAAAAAATATTCAGATAATTTTTGAGGTTCTTTACTTTTTTGTCTCTATTTATCGAAATATTCTGCATACCTACAAAATGTAGCACATATTCCTGTGTAATATGAAATTCCTATCTGTCTTGAAGAAATTCTTCATCTCTAATCAGAAAAGTCTTTCATTGACTATTATCTGTTATTCCAGTTTTCCTCCATCCATGTATATCTTATCCCGAAGGATAGTTTTAGTAGACAGGTAAGGCAAAAGTTCACGGAACACAGGAATTACATTTTACTTTTATGCCGGACGAACGGAAATACATAACTTGGTAAATCTGAAGAAATCTCCTGCGTCTCTGAAAACTGTTCTAAACTAGCTGAACTCTCAAAATGTTTTGACCAAAACATAATACCCCTCAAAAGCTTTACATTAATCTTATTGGACTTGTATTCCTTGATGGTTAAAGGTATTTGTAAAGTATAAAAATTCTGTATTAAAGACTTGTATAATGATCCGTCAAATATTGTTTAATTATTTATTATTAAAGACTTCAATTAGATTATTAACAAATTAAACTTAATGAAGTTGTCTTATAAAGTCATCTAATTATCACACTTGCGCTTATAATCACAGCGACATTTTATTGTGTCGGGATATGTTTGGCCCCTACAACTGGTCTGGATGCTTACAAAAAGTACTGAAATAGTTCCCTAAGAATCACATTTAAAAAAGACAGGCCACAAGTAAAATTATGATCTGTTTTTGCGAACTTTGAAAAGTCTGGCAGAAATTACCGCCGGCCGGAAGTGTCTATTTTTAACAATATTCTATGAAAAATTATGTAAAAATCAACAGTCAGGCTTTAAAAAAAAATGAGTAATGTTTTTACATAGCACCTGGTATCTGCAAATTGGTTCAAAGTACATATGTTGGGATCTTGAACATAAAGCCATTTTGGTGGCGGTGAGCGAAGTGTATGGAAGATGTGGGCGACCAAAGTGTCCATGTTTTTCTATTTCATTCCCATACGTACAGATACTGAATTCTAGAATAGTTCTAGACAAGTAAGGGATCCTGACTGTTCCGAAAATAAACGAATACTGAAGAAATCAGGAGAATCTTTTATCTACACAATTTCGCAAACAAAACAAAAGTCGTGTCTTGATCGCATTATACCGTGCTGTGCGACAAAAAAAAATAACAAATTCAATTGTTAAACACATATACAGCATAATTCTGGAAATTTTTGAAAAATATTTATCTGATCTAATTGGCTCTGATATAACTAGATACTTTGAAATAAATCAGGCATGTAGGTTACGTTAGAATCGGTTAAGCTAGTTTAGGTAGTATATGTAATTAGATAGTTTTATTCCGTACTAGATATTATATATCTGTACTAGTAGTTAGTAATTTGAATCAGCTGCCTCCTGTACTGGGAAGTTATTTGTGTGGACCTTAAGGGTCGCACCAGTGATGCAACACACAGAGTCTAGATCCACACTACGGTTTGTTTTTATAACATCTGATCTTTGAATTTGACCGGTATATTCGAAATTTGAGGGGACCACCAGCACACCAGCTTTACTAGCTAGTGGAACTAGAACAACCAAAAATTTTTCCAAGTGATTATTCGTCTTACAGTGAACACATTTAAATTTGATGGGGGCATGCCAATAAAATTTTGAAATAAATTCCCGTTATCTTCTGCTGGCTGGCAATTTTTATATGTCAAGTTCCAGTAGTTTATAATATTGACGTTCAAGTGAGTACATAACAGAACAATTTTTACTTACTTTTTTAATACCATTTAAGTATGTATTCTGATAACACTAAGTATTTTACAACAATTCTAAAATAATGAACATAACTATTACAAACAAATAAACAATATGTAGCCTAAAATATGTGTGTGTATAAATAAAATTGACGAGTATTATCAAGTACTATTATAACATACATGTAACCTATCATTGTTCGCATAAAAGATATTATCACATTGCTAAAAGCTGGACTTCAATATGAATATACACAATAGTACAACACGTCATTAGGGAATGCTTAAAGTATAATTTCATGGTACGGTAACAACGTTTTAAGATTAAAGAGATTAACGATTGTACGCATCCGATCCGATCTGATGAAGCCCTGACAGAACAGGGGATGGACGATTTAAAGGAGGGGTTATTACTCTAAAGTTCGACCTCGTTTAGAATTTCAAGTTACAATTACCAAAAGAAATAAATTTTATTACTAATATCGATTTATTAATTACCTACGGTACTAGTTCTAATTTTGAAATAGCATCAGTTTAAATTTTATTTATTGTATAAATGTCCCAAAAACACGACCTAACTGAAAGTCAAATCTGTAAATACAAAAAATAAAAATTTTCTTCCAATAAAAATGCGTTACCAAAATGGCTTTTTCTGGTATATATTTCTCAACAGCCACAATAAAATATTTTTATTAAAAATATCCAATTGTACCATATTACATAGTACCATAGTAAAGATCAGGAAGAAAAAAACAACCTTTAAGTTACTTAAAACATTTATTAATTTTCACTACAATAATCATTTTGTTGTAGATACAATGGCTTCTTCAGGTAGAAGAAATAACCAAGAAGATGAAGAAGAAGAAGAATAAGAAGAAACCAATACATCATGGCGAAATAAATATTGTGGTGACAATTAATGAAAGTGTTCTGTAACTTAAACATTACGTTTGTTCTTGTCGTTTTTATTCTGGAATTACAAGATTTGGTAGGTTCTTTGTTTCACTTTATCAAAAATATACAAAAAAGTGCGAGTTGATTCCGTACAATCTTGTAGACTTCGTCCATCACGAAAATCCGGGTCTCGAGCCCCCCGCCCCCAAAATCAATCCTCCAAACGTATCATTACAATATTAAAATTAAAAAAAAATATTTATGACGTAACTACAAATAATATCTTGTTCGCTTTACTTGTGCTATAAGACGTTGCTTCTTACTATTACTAAATTTCATGATTCTATGCCAATAGAAAGTACCTTATAGGTATTGATTACCTTGCCATTGTCAAAATGCCGTACCTTTTGATTGAGTTGACTTAGAACCTTGATTTTCTAACAACCCCAAAGGATTGCAGTTCTCAGTATTGGATATTAATTTCAAATTGATACCTCCAAGAAGGGTCCTGACAGACAGAGACCGCATATCTCTGTCTGTACGCATTACAGACTAATAACGAAGTAATCCTATTGTAAGGGTTTCTTTTTTCTTTTTGAGGTACGGAACCCTAAAAATGAAGAGGATGTCTGTACTATCCACATAACTGCCTCCTTTAAAGATCATGTGCTCATTTCTATGCTATTAAAAAACAAAAAATCTTTTAAAAAGGTTTGTCTGTAAACGTGACTGCCTGTACGATCTAAATTTTCGAAACAGCTGAACTGACATGGTATTTTACAGACATGAAGAAAGGTGACCTAGACCAGTATATCTTAACTTAAAAATTCAAATAATACTAATTTAGCTTGTTTGATACCGGTACACAAAAAAAGCAATCACTTTACGATGTATTTTTCGAAAGTGATCTCAAATCTGGTTCCAGACTAGTCCTAAAACATCAAAATTTCAGGATATCCTGATCTCAAATCTAAACAAAGTCAAATTGACAACATTTGGACTTTGGCTTTAAATGTTAATGTGCTGGGACAATTATTAGATCAGATTTTAACGAGAGTGGTGAAATGGCTACCCTTTTGGTTGTTTTGTCAATTCATTTCTCAAAAATTGCTCTTTGTAAGTTTTGAGATTGGGATTTCTGAAAATATCGATGTACTAATGCAATTCTAAAGTCAAATCTGAACTCAGCGTCACAGGTTGCGTTTGGTGGTGATTGGCTTTTTGTGTTTTCTTTTAATACTTAATTTCGTTGACCTATAGTAATAATACATAATATGCAGATCTACTATTAATAATCTAAAATTATGAGTGTTCTAATGTAATTAAACAGAAAAAATTAACTCTTAATCAATTTAAATTAACCCCTTCGGTGATTTTTCTATGCGTCCTTTGAGAAACGTTGATTCAGGCTACTGTTACGTAATTGAAGACACAGTTGCATCTTCAATAATGACCAATAAGGTGATGTTTGTTTCCGAGATATATGCGTATATCTGGAAGTACTGGTTTTATAAAAAAATATAATCAAATTTTTAGGGGTTATTTATTCTTGGCAACTATTACTCCCCTTCCAAATTTCTTCTCTAAATTTTTGATTTGAGTTTCGATTTTGTATTACCATCATCATCATTGTAAGGTCTACAGCCCAACAACTGGTTCACTGGTTCACTGGGTCACATTTCTCTAAATCTAATCTAGGTCTACCTCAGGCCCTTTTGACTGCTGCTTCTGTTCTTAATATGTCTCTAAGTAACCCTTTATGCCTGAGAAGGTGTATCCTACCAATCTTTCTCGCCTATTTTTTTTATTGACATCAGTAACTCCATTTGTTCTCCTACTCTTTCTCATTTCTAACCTTAGAGTATTCTTACAATCCCATAACACTACATCTAAACACATTTCTCCTGCTGCGTCCACCGTCCACGTTTCACTCCCATACAGAGCCGTGCTGTGAACATATCACACTATACATCTTCAATAACCGTTTTGAAATTTCCGAATCTCGCCACCGATTTTTTATTGCTTTACTCTTTATTTTATATCTTTTCCATCACCCAACTTAATTTTTTCAAGTACAGACCTGTTTATTAAATAACATCCAGTGTAATACAAAGTCTATCGAAATTAAAAACAAATGTGAAATTTTCAAAGTTTAATTTATTTTATACCTACTTTCAGATTATTTCAAGAAAGAAAGTGGCATTTACCTATACTATTAGGCAGTTTGAAACTCAAAGTATTTATACATTTTCAAAATGCAAATTTCACACCTTGCATGCTAATTCAACTGTTATCTTTACCCTCCTACCTCGTAGGTATAAAAAAAAATCATTTTTAACTTTCCCCTACGTCTGCTATGAAAACTAGGTGCTTAGCTCCTACACGCCGTTCTGTCTAGGGCCGTATAAGGGCCAACCATCGACCAATCACAATCAACACTACTTTCGAGCCCTAGTTGAAATGGAGGGGTATAAAACGTATAAATCCTAACACCCCTTTTTACTACTTAGTTTGCAAAAGCGCCACTAAATGAATATTGCGCAATTAATGATCATGGTAAATTATAATAACTAATGAACTTGCTATTTCGCGGTGTGCTGTTCCATGGTACGTTATGTTCAATGGATTTACGTGTTTGAGTGGGCAGAGTTCCGACTCCTACATTAGGTAAGACATTTCATTTTACGTTAGTGTATATTTCTTAACAATAAAGAAATAGTTTGCTTTTGTAAATAATAATTAAAAAAGAATTAGTAATTAAACGCTTGTTTGGTGCCAAATAATACCGTGATAAAACCATCAGAATTTAAATTAAACCATTGTCAACTTGAACATTTGAAAAATACTGAGGAAATTAAGCATTTCTAAAATGTTAAAAAATATAACAATATTACTAACCCACTCTGCATTAGCATAAATTATATCAAATTAAAAGACATGTAAAAAGAAATTGACAAAACAATTCAAATCAAAAATTGGTAGGACCATAAATAGGTCTAATAAAACTACATGAAAAAACATAAAAGTATTAATTATACAACATTAATATTTAACTCTTATTTAATCGATAAATGAATAATATGTGAAATTACAATTTTTTAGTAGGTAAATAGTAAATATGAAATTTATAAAACCGCCACTTGTTATAGAAACGGTAGGTGATAATTACAGTATTTTTAAATTAAAACTTATTTATAAATAGTGTCTGTACTGAATTCAAATGTAATTTATAATTATGTAGAATATTTAAAATAACATTATTTAATTGCAGCAGAATTTGTTGAAAATAGTTCCCATACTAAGCAAAATGTGTGAAAAAAAAATTCAGTTTACAGTAAAGTACTATGGAATTATTTTAATAGCCTACATCAGTGGTCGATCGTTTTTATTTTATAAATTTGTTTTACAGTCAAATCAGAGATTTTCTTTCAGTATACATCAAAAGCGGTTTTCATGCAAGAGCTAATTTATCCATATTAAATAATGTGGTGTTAACCTCTAGAAAATTACTAATTTCTGAAACATCTTAACGACTTCGTACGCATTATGGGGAAAAAGAATAAAATATATAACTGTTATTATAATTAAAGGTATTTTAAAACTAAATATATGGAATCCTATAACATTGTTAGTTACTAATAGTGGTTAATATGCAATATTAATTTGAAATCATTTTTCGATTTTTTATCCACTACAAACTTCCTCAGATACTTTCCTCATTAATCTGAGGAAGTTTGTAGTGGATAAAAAATCGAAAAAGAATTTCAAGTTGATATTTTAAAACTGATTGCAATGTAGAATTAGAAGGTTCATCATTTCATGAAATCATAGGCCTTCACAATTGCTAAACTTACAGTATTAATGTTCTAATTCGAACTGATGTGGACGTTTTCTCACCTATTTCATCGAACATCTTCTTGACGTATCTCAAACATCAGATATCTCTTAATGGACATTTCATATAATATACCTATGTATAAATGACATGATTAGAACAAATAAAATGAAATAAGTATCTCATCAATATTTTTTACAAACATTTCGCTAGCCTCTTTGATTGGTTGTGCTACGACGTCACATCCTGCAAAATCCAACATAAATGGATTCCTAAATTTTGTATAATAAGCGGTTACATCTACGAACTCGCCAAAGGAGGGCCCTCCCGTACCCAACCATCAAATTCTCTCAAACGTTCTTTTATTCGTTCGTACATTTTTCATATTCTTTTCTTACAGATCAGAAAATGAATCAATATTCTGACAACTGCAACCTCAGCTTATACGACGATGGAGATGATTCCGGATACGACATGTCATTCAAATCCGAAACAAGTGATTTCAGCGACGATCGCAGCGACCTGCTAGAATACGACACATTAACTTCCACCCCGAAGAAAAAGTTCACCCTCGAAGAAGCCTCATCTCCACAAAAATTGTACGAGAAATTCACTCAAGCATTCCATAGCACACTAAATTCGTACCAACCGGAGTATTACTCGAATTCAAAATCGAACGAAATAGCAGACATATTTTCTCCAATTCCGTGCCTTACAAGTCCGAATATTAATGAAGATAAAACTTTATCGACATCAGTAACAGCGGAAACCACTTATCCACATTCTATTTCGAAAGTGGGACTTCCCCTAGATGAATATTACAAGGAATCAAAACCGAGGCGCAAATATGCATCCGGAAGAAGCAGAGTATCTCGTGTAAAAAGTCCTACGCAGCTCATAAAAATTAAAAAAACAAGACGTATGAAGGCTAACGACAGAGAAAGAAACCGAATGCACATCCTAAACGAAGCCCTGGATCGTTTAAGGTGTGTACTTCCAACGTTTCCCGAAGATACGAAACTGACCAAGATCGAAACTTTACGATTTGCTCACAGCTACATCTGGGCGTTGATGCAAACGTTAAACAACATCGACAAGCCCAAATTCGACGAGGACATCACTATAAACGTTGGAAATGTAACAGTATCTATTAACAGGAACGGAAATTGCATTACATCGAAAAATTCCAATGGACAATTTTCAAATGCCGTTGTCACAAGCGGAAGTATAACAAATGCGAGTTTCATGCAAGATTACGACTCAAGATCGGACTCTCAAATGTCCTTCACTAACGAATTCGAAACTGTCGGAATCGCCGTTGACAATGAAACATTTGCACCAGCAAAATATGCAAATGATTCTTATTCAGATGCTTATGTTTATGAGGCGGATAAAACCCGTTACTTCAACAACATGATGTATGAGTGCCTTTAATGAAGGGAAGAATTATAAATGCTATATAGGTGTTCGATCGGACATGCATACATATGTAAATTTAATGTAGCAGTTGTTGCTTTAAAGAGGTACGTGCCTAGTACCTACTAAACGGAACCAATGATCTCGAAGTCTAGTCAACTAAATTAAAAAAAGTTTATTTTTATGTATTTCTGAACCGAATGTGATTTTATATTTTTACTCGTTTTAAATAAATGATTTTATAACGATCTCTGCATCTTTAATTTATTAATTTTAAAACAGTCAGTTTGATGATACGGTGCTGACGTCTCGTACCGACTGTTAGCTGCATCCGTCGGATGTTGGTCACTTACATATTTATATCGATATCAATAATTAAATCGTAATATTTTAATCTGGAATTCTTGGAAGGGGAGTCCACATTTTTCTTATAAATGACGGAGGATAGGGATTTAAATTCAGCAAAATTCTGCTTACGCAGAACTTTAATTACTTTGAAGATTATTGTGAGATAATCTTAAAAAAAATTTAGACCAATTGTTAAAATTTAAATTATTATGGATATATTACGGTCTCATGTTTGAAAAGTACCTAAATTTAATATTTTTTTGTTGCCATTTGTTAATAATACACAAAAAAAAACGACACGAAATACCATTACAATTTATTAAATATGTTTTTACTAATTCATTAGACGGCGTTCGTTTAAAGTAATCTTTTTTTTTAAATACCTTCAATATTTTTCTATTTGACTCTGTTATTGCTTTTAAATATTATTTATAACTTGCTTAAAATACAACCCTGAGATGTGGGTGCCTAAAAACAGAAAATATTCGATTTTTTTTTAATAAGTAGAAGCTACGAAATTTTTAGGTCTTATAAGTAGCGTCATTGAACTGAAAGATGGAAACGTTTCATCAGTTGATGATGGCACATATTGAATGCTCATCTACTTATATACAACTGGTTTTTCAAAAATTGTTTAGTAAATGTAAAATTCGTTGCCAAATTTTAATATGTAGGTACCTGTTTTTTTATAGTTTATCGTATTTTGTTTTGTAAAATTAAAATTTGAGAATTAAAACATTGTTTTATCCCTTACTTGTCAATATTAACTCATAGGTATATCTAAGACTAACAATGTTCGACTAAATTCGCTGAAAATGAATATAAATAGCTAAACCCTATGTATTAAGTAACGCTAAAATATTAAAATTTAACAATCATTTAAGAAAAATTTTACTTTAATATAAGCTGATGATTAAAAAGTCATACGGTCAAGTAATATAAAAAAAAACTAAAAGAAAAAAGGTCCAATTTTAACAATAAGGGCCTACACGAAAAACTCAAAAGTCAAAATAATTAAATTCGTAGTAGGATAAACCAATGGGAGAGGAAGAGCAATTTCGAATAATTGGAAAAATAGACTTTTATTTACATGGGTTTATTGGGTATAACAAGCGCGCAAATCTGAACTAATTTAGAATTTCACGGCGGTGCCGGCAAGGAAGAACGTTATTGCAACCTGCGACATAAATCAGAGTCACCACGCATTTTGCAGCTGCCTTGATCAGCCGACCATAACAACCCCAACTTTCAACTCGCCTTGGGGTCCTTTCAGGGGCGCACTTACTTGGTTTATCCCTATTATTTATTATATTACCGTATTCGCCTATTCCATGTATATTTTCAGGAAAAAAAATTAGCGTGACGTAAAACGTAACAGACTTCTATATTAAAATCATTCAAATAAGCAAAATCCCATTGTTAATTAATCGTAAATAAATTAAAGTCAACAGATATCTTTAACAAGTGAAGACTTTACTAAATAGGTATTTATCGGACAGAAAATATTTTCAAAGAAAATGCAAGTACGAACAAAGACAGCACAAGCATTTTACATAAAGAAAGCTGTCCAATAAGTGTAGTTTTTTATCCTATCTTGAAAAAGAGAAATAATTTTCTAAAACTGGACTGAGTATACACTACTTTGTAAAATACTTCAAGATATGTGTATCTAGTCTCACAACACACTTCATTTATAAGTACAATTTACTAAAAAGATCTCACAGTTAACGAGTTGAAAGTCAAAACAACAGTAACATAAAAGTGGTCCGTCAAAATTACCATTGATGTTGTAATATCGGTTGGTTTTGATGCCCAAATGAATAACTTACATTTATAAGACCAAAGCAAGAGACCTAACGGAAATAAAATTGAATAGTAAGACCTTCGTTTATCGACCAAAAAGTTTAAATATACTAGAAATACTTTTGTAGCAAAACGTTTGTGAGAGTATGAAACATTAAATTAAAAAAAAAATACTCTCACCTTTAACTTCAACAAGACTGATTTCACATTATAAATCAATGGCTTCTTAAAAAATAAATTTAAATTCATAAACATAAAGTAAATTTTTGAAAAACAATTTTTAATATGTAATT